AATTTAAACAGTCAACAAGGCGAACTGATACAAAAAGACGGGAGGCAAACACAAAAACTCAAAATAGGTGATAAAACTTACAAATACAACAAAAACAAACCCGATTCAAAGGTAGTGAACACGAAACTCAAGGAAGTGGCGAGAAGCAACGACTACACAAAACACCGTCTTTTAATGAAAGGTGCTAATTATCTCAAGAGTAACGAGGGGCAGACCCCTACAGGATTACGTCAAGCGGTTCAAATCCAACATCACTGACCAGCAACAAGCTTTCAAGACATACGCCAACACCTACTTGGTAAGCGATATAAGATTAAAGGGGATGAAGGGTTTATCTTTAAAATGCCAGAAGCAACGACTAGCAGAATTCCTCAACAGAAACCCGAACATGAAAATAATCGTGGAAACCGATTTATCATTCAAAAATCCTAACAATGAAGTTATCCAAAGGAGGTTAAAAAGCAGAAGATACAATGTTCATAACCCCGATGAGTTGAGCGGTGTCTTAAACAACATTGGTCACGACATAGAGACACAAATTGAAATAACCGAACACGTTCAGTCGGGATTGGTTCTTGGTCAAGTTAAAAAGTTAGTCATCAGTTATGATAGATACAATCCTACACGTGGGGCATCTTTTATTCCGCTACCTGACTGGGTGGCAAACAAAAAACGTGTATATATATTAAAAAAGAGGATGCCTTATGTTTTAAGTGTTCCGTTCAATGCGGATTTTATGAGTTACACAACAAAGACAATCCCTGCGAGATGTATCATTTTAAGAAATATCTTAATGATACTTTTATCAAATGGGACAATATTGACTTTCCAGTAGGTAATGATGAGATTGAGTTTTTTGAAGAACAAAACACACATATATCGGTCAATGTTTATTACATCAACCCTGATACGAATAGTAAAAGTAATTTATTATACAAAAGGAGCAACAACCCACAAGCACAGCATAAAATAGATTTGATTAAACAGACTGGTGATGTTAAATCACATTACGCGTATATCAAAAATTATGATAAGTTAATGTGTAGTCAAACTAACAAGATGAAGGCGAAGAAGTATCATTGTAGAACCTGCTCACATGGTTTCAAGACCGAAGCACTGTTAAAAAACACGAAGAACAGGGATGTCTAGCAGTTGAGGGTCAAAAAATAGAAATGCCAAAAGCAGGTGAACCAATAGCATTCAGAAACCATTTTAGGAAACTTAAAGCTCCCCTCGCAATCTATGCCGACTTTGAATGTTTGACCGTGCCCGTTGATGCTAAACGCAAAGCCGCAAATCTGCAAAAGCGAAAACGACATCATATCATCAAAATCACCGTCTATGGAATACTATGGTTTAGACCCCGCTCATTATTACACGCTTCCTAATTTTGCATGGGACGCAACGCTTCTAAAAACTGGTGTTGAAATAAACAACTACATGACCAAGAAATGTTTGAAATGATTGAAAAGGGAATGGGAGGTGGAATGTGTCAGGTAAGTCATAAGTTAGCAGTTGCTAATAATAAGTATATGGAGGAAGCATACGATGAGAGCAAACCATCAAATTTCATTCATTACTTAGATGCAAATAATTTGTATGGCCTGGCGATGTCTCAAAAAGTCGCCATTGAAAAATATCAAGTGGGCAAAGAAAACACCCGATGTTGAGAGATGGAAGTAAAACGATGAGTTCGGTTATTAATGGAAGTTGATTTAGAGTACACGACTATCACTCCGACTATCCACTAGCACCTGACATAATGAATGTCAATGCTCAAATGTTGCCAGACTATCAACAGCAAGTCTACAAAATATATTGTGATGAAAAAAACCCCGAAGGACGAGAAAACCAGAAAGTTAATAGTAAATCTAAAGGACAAAGAAAAATACGTGGTTCATAATCAAGACTTTACAGTATTCTCTAAAAATGAGTTTGAAAATGACCAAAGTCCATAGGATATTCAAATTCCAACAAAGGGCATGGTTGAAACCGTGGATTGACTTCAACACTGGTAAAAAGGAAGGAAGCAAAAAGTGATTTTGAGAAAGAACTGTACAAGTTGATGAATAATAGTTATACGGAAAAACTATGGAAGACAAGCGAAATCATATTGACTTTGAATTAGTTGATAATGAGGTAAGGTATGACAAATGCGTCAATAACCCAACCTTCATAAGTAGACTTATCATTAATGAAAATCTCGTAGGAGTTGAGAAAACTAAAGCAAAACTGAAACTGGATAACCCAGTCTTTTTAGGAATGACTATTGTAGATTTAAGTAAATTACATATGTATAAGTTTTACTATGATGTATCAAAAAAGAAGTATAATGAAAACATCAAGTTGATATACACCGACACTGACAGTTATGTAGTTCAAACAATGACTGATGATGTTTGTAAGGGTTTCAATGAGATAAAGCAACACATGGATTTAGCGACTATCCACCTGAACATCCGTGCTTTGACAAAACTAATACAAAGGTCTTAGGAATGTTTAAGGACGAAGTGAATGGAACAATAATTGCAAAATTCATTGGTTTAAAACCTAAATCCTACGCTTTTACAATCCACGGCGAGGATGATGAATATAAGAAATGAAAAGGCGTGGTGAAACGTAAAGTGAAAAAAGAACTGTCGTATCAAAACAAAAACATGAAATCACCTACAACTTCATCAGGAGTAAGTCGCATCAAAAATAGTCAAGGTCTCAAGTCAAGCAAAGTCTGGGTAATTGTGAAAACAAAAGGTTTTATATTGACGCGTTCAATTCATTGCCTTACGGGCACTATATGATAAAATGACCCCGACATATTAAAAAAACATAAAACAACATATAACACGCTGGAAACCAGCATCAAAGACAGAAGAAACCATAAGGACTACTCAAGGGAAATTTACATAGTTAGAAATTCAAAAATACCAGTATCTACATTGGAAGCACAACACAGAAACTAATCGAAATAATGGCACAACATAGGAAGGCAACAAGAAACCCGAGGGCGAATTCATATAAGGTGTATCGCTCCATGAATGAGTTAGGATTAGATAATTTCTATATAGAACTCATTGAAAATTATAGTTGCAATAATCGGGAAGAACTATCCAAAAGAGAAGGTGAAATTATACGGGAATACAAACCAGATTTGAACAAACACATTGCAGGTACAACATTTCGTAAATACCCAGAAGACAACAGACAAAAATCCTTGAACATGACAGGAAGCGACACGCTTTAAACAGAGATGCTAGACTACAACAACGAAAGCACATATATACTTGTTGTGGCGGGTCAATCATCAGAAGAGATGGTAAGGCAGAGCATGAAAGAACAATAAAACATATTGAGTTTTTACAGCAATAAGTTTTAATCTAAATATCTCCAAAAAGAATGAAGTTATTAGAGATGTTTAGCGGGACAGGTAGTGTTGGTCGGTTCGCTCGGGATTTGGGTCTTAGTGTCATTTCCACTGATTTGAAAAATGCAAATATCAATATTGATATTTTGAGTTGGGATTATCGCGAGTTTGATGTGGGCGAGTTTGATGTTGTGTGGGCATCTCCTCCATGCGCTGAATACAGCGGAGCGAAGGCGACGGGTGTCCGAAAGTTTGAGCATGCTATGTGGATTACTGCAAATATGGCATGAACTACAGAAAGCGAACGAGGTTGTGCACTAACATTGAAACTTGGAAACCCAGACCATTGTGCAAAAGGGATTGTGGGAAGGTTAGGAATGGGAAACACCTTGAAACTGCTCAACGTTTGCCGTCAGGAAAGAAATCTGAATGGTTTGATGCGTGTGTGAAACATAAACAGGAAGAACTATAAAGAATACCTTCGGATTTGATTAGTGAACTGTTTGTACGCTTGGTTGATGTGATGAGCGATTAAGGCTTGCAAGTTTTAGGGGATATTGTTGCTGCGCTGATCGTCGGAGGCGTCAGCACATGTACCCTTTTTGGTAGTGAGTGGGTGGTATACTTCGCGATTTCCCCCTATCGCTCCCACCACACTCACTACCCGGACAGGATGGGTGCTACAACAAGTAACCCAGACCGAATTACAGATACGGGGTTAGGTATTTCATATAGAACCAAATATTTCTCTATATGTCATGGATGGTACTCCCTAAAATCCGACGACAACACCAACATTTGACAAATAGCATCATCCAGCATCATCGGCATCTACCGCATCGCCATTTGAAACGTGTCAGACGTCTGGCGTCTGCCTCATAAAGGAGACCATCCAATATTCTATACATTGAAAAGGGGAAGGTTTCCAACCATCTACGTGAGCACCTTTTTGTAGCGTGTCCATCGAGCAGCTTCTTCAGGTTTCTGATGTGAGTGTCCTTATTGCATGACGATGTTCAATATTTCAATATACGCATGGGCTCTGCCCATGCTCTTGAGAAAAGACAGCTAACACAAACATATTTATCGCATAATGAGCTGGAGCAATTGGAGCACAGCTCCAATCTAGTTGCTTGAGCTCAAGAAGCACAAGATGCAAAGATGAGCACCTGCAACGATATCTGCAGATGCAAATAACATTCTCTGCATAAAGCTGTTCAGCTTTGGAATAAGAGCTTTGGAATAAGATTCTCTTCAGCTATTCGTGTTGCTGAAGGGCTCTTGCAACAGTAAAGCTGTTCAGAATAGATTCAAGTAGACACAAGCCACAAGCAGTTGCTTGTAATGAGATGTCACCTGCAGAAGATGAGATGAGAGATGAGATAAAGGCTCCTTCAAAAACATAGCCAGCGTGTTAGCGTACATAAGTCACCGCCCTACCACTCATGTTGGCGCTACTGGCGCCATTTTCCGGCATGATGAGAGCGACAGTCCAATAATGCTGTTGCCCGCAATGCGATGCTTTGTGACTCCTTCCCCCCGACCCTTCCAACACAGCAGACTCCGTGAACTCTCAAAACCTTGATAACATTGTGCAGAAGAAGACAAACAACTGCCACTCCAAAAGTCGCACATGCGCCTCACTCTCCGTCTCTTGCGGTGAGCACCTGAGCCGCGCGAACACCGATCTGGTCGGCTGCGCTCTCCGCTCTGCGGCGCGTGCGCCACTGGGCCAGTCCCGCGGAAGAGGCTAAGGCCTCAACGGCCATCATCAAAAGCGAAGAGAAGCAATGCGTCTCGCGTTGAAGCGCCAGGCTCTTGGCAGAGCGGCTTTTGCAAGACGAGAGCGCCTGCAGTGGGCCACGGCGCGCGGCCTTGCCTGCCCATTTCGCGCCTCGTCCAAGATTTTGACCGTGGAAGCCAGCTGCTCGTTCCGCCTGCGCAGCGCCCGGAGCCTGTCTTCGAAGGCAGCAATGCGGGCCGCCGAGTCCCTGGAACACGAAGCGACGCTCAACGCAAAACTCGTTCCAAGGAGCTGCTGTTTCCAGTGTCCCGTCCTTTCAAGGCTCCAGGCAGTTCGGCTCCGGTTCAGCCGGTGACCTTGGTCTTTCTCTCACCGCCACTGGAAACAGGTGAAGGTTGCAGTTGCCCCTAACTGCATTCAAAGCACATAACACGCAAGGTATGGCATGGGTGAAACGTAGGGAATCCGCTGCGCAAGTCTTTGACGTGAAAGCGCTCTGAGGCCGCTGCAGTAGATCTCCGCCTCCGCCAGCCAGGACTCCATCTCATGGCGCGGAGTTGAGGACGGGCCATTGAGCGAGCTGAACCTGGACCTGCTTACGGTCGGCGCCCGCTGCTTGACACACATATAGTGTTGAAGTACACATGCCCTTGGATACATGCCATGGTAGTACAGCTTGCGCATGACCGTGGCTGTACATCACCAAGGCCTTGAGCCTACACATTTGCCAGAGAGAGAAACAGTTGCTACAGCCGCGCTGATACACGACACAGGTACATTGCACGAGGTTAACAGGTCACATCAGAGTTTAACATGGTAGCGGCGGAGCACAACTGACTACAGCTCCATCACCTGGGAAAGATCCAACCCACCAAAGTACACAGTAGCACAGTGAGTGACAATGGCAGCATACCTCGGTTTGCAAGAGTCATCATACAACAGACTACTGGCACAAGCAGAACAATCAGCACAAGCAATCACAAGCGACCAACTAGAACAAGCCGCGCCAGATCAGGAAACAGCAGACAAATGGCTACAACTCAGTGGAGACCTACACTTCCTGCTCGTCAATACATGTGACGGAGCAGCATCAACATTATGCAGACAGAACATGCTCGGCAATGGCTTCGAGACATGGAGACAACTACACCTGCGATACGCACTACCACTTGGCACAAGAAGCATTGGTTACCTTACCAAGCTACTCAAACCACAACTGGATGAAAACAAGTTCGAGGAGAGCTTTACAAAATGGGAGTTTCAACTTGCCAAGCACGAACAAGACAACAGAACACTACTACCGGATGCAATCAAGATTGCAATCCTGCTCAACGAGACAAAAGGGCCACTACAACAGCATTTGCAACTACAGGCAGGCAACATTACAACCTATGCGCAAATCAGATCATTGGTTGTGGAGTACCACAGAGCAGCATCACAATTTGTCAAACTACAAGCGGCTACAAGCAATGACAACCAAGGTCCAACACCAATGGACATAGGAGCAACATGGTACAACAAAGGAAAAGGAAAATACAACGACTGAAAGGGCTACGGCGGCTACGGCAACTACAACAATCACAAAGGAGGAAAAGGAGACAACAGATACAATCAGCCAATAGGGCAAGGAAATCCGTTCAAAGGAGGACACAACAACAAAGGAAAAGGAAAGGATACCACAAAGGTAAAGGATACAACAACTACAGCAAAGGAGGCAAAGGAACAAAAGGAAAGCAAGCCACAAATGTGTGCTACAGATGTGGACAGCCAGGACACATGGCCAAGCAATGCAGAGTGGCCATCTACAACTACGACAACGACAACATGGAAGACAACGACGTCACAGATGACTGGTACCACAACAATCACTACGATGTAAACTGGCACCACATTGACCAGACACAGCAGCATCCCAACCAACAACAACTACCAGTACAACAAGGCAATGAACAGATGCCTTTGATAGTCTCTGGACTTGAAGAAGTGGTCATTGCTACAGCAACGGCGCAACAACAAAAAAAACAATAGATACATCGATCTCATGATCGATAGTGGAGCAGCCACACATGTCTGCCCACCATGGTTCGCAACAGAATCACAATTACAACCACTGACGCAGGAAAATGGACCACAGCTGAGAACAGTGACAAGCCAGCCAATCAAGCTGCATGGATACAAATGGGTTTGCATGAGCAACATCAACGGACAACGCATTGTCATACCGTTCTACGTGTGTGACATCAAACAACCCATACTATCAGTGACAAGACTGATAGAACAAGGATTGCAGATTGCGCTGGATGACAATCCAAGGATACACCACGACAAAGGTTTCAACAGCAGCCTCACACGGTCACATGGACTACTCTGTCTACAAGCAGAGATCACAACACTGCCACAAGGAACAGAATTGAAGGTAGACAACACAGAACAAGGACAAGCGGCGATGATAGCACCAACAACCACACTGACACCACAAGGAGCACAGTACACAGGATATGCAGGAGACTACTGGCAATTCAACAGCCAAGGAGAGCTCGTCAGAGTACATCGGCAATACAGAAAGACAATGTTCACACCAACACGAACACAGTGCCCGGCTTCAACAGATAGACTTGAGAACTACAGAAGAACAACCATCAAAGGAGAGAACGGCACAACAAGGACAATAGAGGATCGATACCAACATCTAGACAATCCAAACCAGGCACAGCCAACACTTTGGAAAGGTGAGACAGTGTTCAGGCTGAAGAAAGGTACAACACTGCCAGAAACACTCAACAGCAACTGGCAGCAAGACAACAGCAATCTCAACAGAAAGAGATCACAACATCGAGAGTCACACCACAAGTCATACAATACAAACCACAAAGGAGGATAACAGGAAAGCAACCACCACAAGCAATACAACCGCAGCAGACAGACACGACTGACAAGGAATCCCACATCCATCGGAACTACAACCCGGTGGAGACTACTGGTACAGAGAAGGACCATGCTGATGTGCAACCACGCACAGCCTACTACATACCAGAGCAAACAGACGATGGACCAGACGTCTCTAAACTGAGCACATACAGGCTGACAAAGATACAACCAACAGCAGGAGGAAGCATCAAGGTGGTACAAGATGAATGGACAGCAGAACAATCAAAGACACATGGACAAATTTCGAAGAACAAGAACAGTGCCCGGCACAACTAGGATCAGATGACGAAGAACAACAACAAGGAAGAAAGGCACGAGCAGTACAAGCGCCGAAGCAGCCTACACCACAAGAGATCCTAGAACAGAACGTGACACACCTTCCATACAGGAGTTGGTGTCCAACGTGCGTACAGGCTCGCGGTCGGGCAAACAAGCACATAGCACAACGCCAATCATACAGTTGGATTGTGCATACCTCAAAGGCTTTGACGACAGCAAGGTACATCCAATCCTCACAGCAATCGACATACAATCAGGCATGATGATGGCACTACAACTCTCAGAGAAACGTCGACTCTTTGACTACGCAGTACAACAACTACAGCAGTTCTTGGTGGAATGCGGCAGAACAACACATGTGATACTACAGTCAGATCAGGAAGACTACCTGGTCGCACTTACAAAGGCAGTGGCAAACACAATGGGGAACATAACCGCACGCACTTCACCAGCATACAGTTCACAATCACAAGGAGGCGTAGAGCGAGCACATCGCACCCTCTTTGGACCGATACGAACACTGAGAGCACAAATCTTTCAGAACTACAACAGAACAATCACCATGAAGCATCCCAATTCATACGCAATACACGCAAACGGCTTCACAAGCTTCTACAACAGATGGCACAACGAGCAACACACTCCACTGTGTGAATTTGGCGAAACCATACAATACATGGTCTCGTCAATCAAACAATTCCCAAAGCTAGAACCACGCTTCTTCACAGGAATATGGCTTGGGAAGGATACAACCACAGGCGAGTCCCTGATAGGGATATACAACAAGATCATACGTGCACGCACGATACGACGACAGATCAAGCCACACAAGTACAACCAACAGCTCTTCGATGTGATCAACATGGGTCCATGGAATACACCAGCATCGGCACGTACCACGCCGACAATGCCGACGACAACCACGTCGACAACACTGCCGTTACCACAACGAAGACAGCAGGCAGCAAAGCAACACAAGGATGCAACCACAAGCACATCATCAGATGGCAAGCTCAACACCGGCGAGCAAAAGGATGGAGGCTCGCCAAAGAAACAACAGAGAACACAGGAACCCACATCGCCGATGGCAACAGCTCCACCAATGACACAACGACCAGCATTGCCAATGCCTACATCATCAACAAGACCACTACCTGACGAAGTCACAGAAGGCAGCACAAGCAAACAACAGAAGACAACAACAGGAGCATCAGAAAAGGAGAGACCCACTACAGGAGAACAACCGCAACGCAAGATGAGGATCAATACAATGACAGTAAACACACGGGATGGCAAACATGTCGAGACAACATCAAATGAGGATCCACAGGAGATAGAAAATGAAAGGATACTACTGGAACCCATCCTACATGGCACAGAAGGACTTGACCCAACAAAGGTAGCAACAGGAATGAAGAAGGAGATACAACAAATGAAGGAGCAAGGAGTCTACACCGAAATAGACGGCAGCACGCTCACAACAGAACAATGGCACATTATCGTAGAATCCAGATGGGTACTACGACCAAAACAACAAGAAGTACGAGCACGAATGGTTGCAAAAGGATACACTGAAAACATCAGCGACAATGACCCCATCTACGCAAGCACCCCATTGATTTGTATCCTAAGGATACTTCTTACATTACATGGCATTGTCGAACAACTGGTCAGTACGCACAGGAGATGTCAGTGTAGCATTCCTACATGCGCCAGCAGCAACACTCCACATCATCATGAGACCTCCACCTGAGTTCTACGACGACAACAACAAACACATCATGTGGAAACTGAACAAAGCAATCTACGGCTTGAGGTCATCGCCCAAACAATGGCAAGACCACATAGCAGAAGTGCTTACAGCACGCGAGTTGACACGACTCAAAACAGACTCGAATGTCTATAGAAACAAATCTGGCACAGCTTACATCATGGTCTACTTGGATGATCTACTGTTCATTGGTGAACAGAAAGAGATAGACATCCTGTTTGATAAGATCATGAAACATGTCCTGCTTCGACCAACAGGACAGCTCGCAACCGGCAAAACAATCACCTTCCTACGAAGAAACATCACTCACAAAGGAGACCACATGGACATCAGTCTAGAAGACGACTACATCGACAACATACTGAAGGAGTCCAACATGACCACATGCAATGCAGCACCAGCACCCGGGATCTCACATCCCAAAACTACAATAGAAGATGAGACAGCTCTTGACCAGGAACAACACTCAGCCTACAGGCGTTTGGTACGCAAGATACAATGGCTAGCGTACACAAGACCAGACATCAGCTATGGAGCGAAAGAGTTGGTCAGATCACTACAAGAAACTCAAGCACATGATACGATATCTCAAAGGTACGAGATACTGGAAACACGCACCCAGACCAACAGTACAAATGCAAGAAAGGAGGCTTCCAATCAACATCGACATCTACACAGATGCGAATTGGGCATCATGCGAAACAACACGCAAGAGCACAACAGGATTTGTCATACATTTCCTGGGAGCTACAATTCACTATGGAAGCAGAACACAGGCAACAATAGCCCTGTCATCAGCAGAGTCAGAGCTGTACGCAATTGGTACAGCTGCACAACAAAGCATCTACATCAGCAACTTCGTCAAGGAAGCTTTGGACACAAAGACCAACGTCAGAATACACACAGACAGCAGCTCGGCTAAATCAATAGCCATGAGAGAAGGTACATCAAAGAAAGCAAAGCACATCGAGCACGATACCTTTTCATGCAACAACTGGTCAAGAACAAAATCACTACAATGTGCAAGATAAGGTCAGAACACAACCCCTCATACATACTGACAAAGTTTGTTTCAACCGACACACTTCACCGACACCTTTACAAGGTAGGCTTACCCAGCAGCCCACCTTGACAACCGCAACCATCACTTCAACAGTGTCACCGACAGTTTGCGCAGCGCGTTCAAGGCACCAGTTGCACAGGTTTTGCACTTAGGTTTCACTACATGTTGCGATACAATTTCCTGACTGCGTTTCTACACGACAGCTTGACAGGAGATTAAATACATGTTTCGTCACTGCAGCCATTTGCATCTTTTGTGCAGATAGAAGGAGATACACCGCCATATCAACAATGGCCCATCGCTCCTACAAGTCCATTCACGAGCCCGTGGCCGCGCCGGATGGTTTTACACTGGAGCCCACAGGGGGCAACCCGGTTTACATCGCCCCTCAGGAACCAAGTGATTACACCACGGTTCTCATTCCACTTACAACTGAGCAGGCGAAGTTCATGAACACAGCTGCGGCCAAGGAGGCGCACAGGGTTGACAAAATCCCCGGCTACATGCGCGCCCCACTCTCGGCCTCATTGGAATGTTTTACAGTATCATGGATGCCGTGGGGTACATGGGATGGCTCATCCACAGTGGTCGCGACAGCACGGAGGACATGAGCAATTGTTACATTTACCGCGTTTCGCTGCACACGGCTGAGATTTTGCAGCGCGTCTACGAGAAGAAGATCTCCATCTTCAATCGCGGTTACATTGGGCTTGTGTTACAGCTGCATGAGCACCACACCTGGATGATGACAGAGATCGAAAAGAATGGGTACGGATTTATTTTGGGATTTTTTCGTTTTTTAGGATTTTTTTCGTTTTTCGTCCGGGCCAGCAAAATGTCGTATTTTACAGCATTTTCTCGCGAAATTGACGCATTTTACACTAGCTCGTCAACATCCCCAGCATCGTTTTCAACATCCCCCGCATGTCCGACCAACATCCCTAGCATCACCAACAAATCGTGGGTAACAAAATCCAAAAATGTAGCTGGCGGGTTGACGGGGTCAAAACAATAATGCTTCAAACAGGAGGGCATTTCAATCCCAGCAAAAAAAAAAAACAAAAAAAAAGGAAAAACAAAGCGGGGTAGTGATGATTCGAACAGGGGTGCAATTAAATCTCTGCAAAAAGTCTAAAAAGTAGCGGGGGGGTTGGGGGGGGCTGCCCCCCCATGATGTTCGAAGAATTGATGATTCAACTAGGGGTGCAATCAATTAAATCTCTGTAGAAAATCTAAAACGTAGCGGGGGGGTTGGAGGGGTCGGCAGCCCCCCCATGATGTCGGAAGAAGTGGTGATTCAAGTAGGGGTGCAATGATTCAAGAAAGGGTGTGATAGAATTTAAAAGGCAGCGGGAGGGTTGGCGGGGGTGGCTTCCCCTATGATGTTCGAAGAAATGCATACATACCATACACGGACTACACAGATTACCTAAAATGTCGTATTTTGCAGCATTTTCTCGCGAAATTGGACGCTCGAAAAAGTGATGATTCAAACAGGGGTGCAATTCAATCTCTGCCGGCCAGTAAAGTGTCGTATTTTACAGCATGTTCTCGCGAAATTGACGCTTTTACACTAGCCCGTCAACATCCCCCGCGTGTCCCACCAACATCCCTAGCATCACCAACAAATCGTGCGACGGGGTCAAAGAAATGATGATTCAAGTAGGAGGGCATGTCAATCCCTGTAAAAATATATACAAAGTAGCGGGGGGGTTGGGGGGGGCGGCAGCCCCCCCACGATGTTGTTTGCAGAAGTGATGATTTGAATAGGGGTGCAATTAAAATCTCTGCAAAAAGTCTAAAAAGTAGCGGGGGGGTTGGGGGGGGCTGCCCCCCCATGATGATCGAAGAATTGATGATTCAACTAGGGGTGCAATCAATTAAATCTCTGTAGAAAATCTAAACGTAGCGGGGGGGGGGGTTGGGGGGGCGGCAGCCCCCCCATGATGTCGGAAGAAGTGGTGATTCAAGTAGGGGTGCAATGATTCAAGAAAGGGTGTGATAGAATTTACAAGGCAGCGGGAGGGTTGGCCTATGATGTTCGAAGAAATGCATACATACAGACATACACGGACTGCACAGAATACCTAAAATGTCGTATTTTGCAGCATTGCCTCGCGAAATTGGACGCTCGAAGTGATGATTCAAACAGGGGTGCAATTCAATCTCTGCCGGGCCAGTAAAGTGTCGTATTTTACAGCATGTTCTCGCGAAATTGACGCTTTTACACTAGCCCGTCAACATCCCCCGCATGTCCCACCAACATCCCTAGCATCACCAACACATCGTGTGACGGGGTCAAAGAAATGATGATTCAAGTAGGATGGCATGTCAATCCCTGTAAAAATTAATATAAAAAGTAGCGGGGGGGTTCCCCACGATGTTGTTTGCAGAAGTGATGATTTGAATAGGGGTGCAATTAAATCTCTGCAAAAAGTCTAAAAAGTAGCGGGGGGGGTTGGGGGGTCGGCTGCAGCCCCCATGATGGTCGAAGAATTGATGATTCGACTAGGGGTGCAACCCCCCCATGATGTTCGAAGAATTGATGATTCAACTAGGGGTGCAACTAATTAATCTCTGCAGAAAATCTAAAACGTAGGGGGGGGGGGGGGTTGGGGGGGCGGCAGCCCCCCCCCATGATGTCGGAAAAACGCCACCTGCCGAAGAGGAACTGGGAATGCAGAGGATGCGAAAAGCCAAAAAGCCACCAAAAGCCGCATAAACTTGCAAAAAGCCGAAAAGCCTAGAAGCCGAAAAGCCAAGAAGACAAAAAGCCAAGAAGCCAAGAAGCCGCGAAGCCAAGAAGCCAAAAGCGGAAAAAAAAAAAAAAAAAAAAAACGAAAACAAATCCTAAAATAAATACCCCTCCGAAAAGAATACAGGCACCTTCTTTCGCATCAGTGGTGACATTCGCAATTTGTACAGGAGTTACAATTTGGAAAATGGTTACATGGTTTTGCAGCACATCGTCATCAACATTGAGCACATGTTGAGTGTGGAAGACAAACTGGACAGGAAGCACGCGGGCTTCACCATGGCCATCAGTCAGTACACCTATGCTGCGACACAGGCGGTACCTGAGCCCCTCCGTACACGACTCTTCCATTACATCCTGGAGACAAGCTCAGTTGTGAGGAGATGCCAAAATCTTGGACCCGGGACAGGCAGGCTACAGCGACCAGAGCTTGCAGGAGGTGGACAGTGCTTTGATCCTGTCACAGCACAGCGGATACAAAATGACGCACAGCAAAAGAATCCAGGGCGAAAGCAACTGAAGAGTTGTACATGTGGATTACAATTTTGGGCCCTCGAGGCACAGCACACCGGAAATGACCGCCCATTAGGGAAACCGTTGTACAAACAGTCTGCATTCTGGTGATCAGTTTCTGTGCAGTTACGTTTTACATCATCCCGCACTCCAAGGTCAAGATGGTACATTGCAGTTTAGAGATACAATTAAAATACTGTACTCTAAGGAGGCGTGTTGAAATACACATGCCCTTGGATACATGCCATGGTAGTACAGCTTGTACATGACCGTGGCTGTACATCACCAAGGCCTTGAGCCTATACATTTGCCAGAGAGAGAAACAGTTGCTACAGCCGCGCTGATGCACGACACAGGTGCATTGCACGAGGTTAACAGGTCACATCAGAGTTTAACATATATATATATATATGTTATATATATATATATATGTATTCCGAGATTTCACGTTTTGCAACTGAGATTGCAACCGATGGCTTTCCGCGCGCTGTTTTGGCCAAACCGGCTCGCTTGCCGGATTTGGACCTTTCGGACCTTTTGGACCTGGTGAAACCTGAGAGATGAGCGATTTGGACCTCAGTGCTCAAAGCCCTGCTTCTCGGCAAAGGACCTGAGACCCAAATCAAAGAGTCCACGCGCGTCCCCGTCTTCCCCGTCTCCTGCCTCAAGCGGTTGAAGACCTCCACCTTGAGCTTCTCGGGAAGCGTTGCTCGGCCTCTCGGCGCGATATCCGCGATCATCTCCTGCTCAGGAAGTCAGCCCAAGCAAGTCGATGCCATTGTGATGCCATGACATTTGCCATGGTCCTGTCCTCCAGAGAAACTTGCTCAACGCCCTTGTTCTGAATGAAGTCCACACATTGCTTCTTCAGATCCTGACCCCCCCCCTCTCCTTCCTCTGCTTCTGAAAATTCTCTGTTGTCTGCCTCTCTCCAGCCGCACTCATTCAGATGGCCAATGATGTACCTGCGAACTTGTGGCACTCTCTGGCTTTGTCACTAATGTCGCGCACTCCTTGAGCCTCTCTCTTTCCCCCGTCTCCTGCAGCTTCACGTCAAGCATGCTCTGCTCCTTAGGCCACAAAAAGTCGGACTGCCTCATTCACTCTTGAAGGACAAGACCATTGCCCTCCTGGACTTTTCGGCATCGTGGCCAGACATGAGGCTGTTTACCCAGTTGCAAACATTCCAGTGCTGAACCTTGCCTTGATGCTTGGATGCTTGAGCCTCAGATTCTTTGGAAAGCCATGCTGTGTATCTCGAGGCGGCCCCATTGCGTGGCATGTGCATTGTTCAGAGGCCGTGCTGCTGGCGCTTTCTTTTTCGCGCCAACGCCACTGCGCCGAGACAAGCGGAATTGTTGAGTGGCAGAGGGCAAAGCTATAGGCCAAACAAGGGTTCCAGCCAGTGCTTTGGTCTGTGGCTTGTTTAGGGCGGGTTCTGGGTATTTTGCAGGTAGGCTTAGGGCAGGTTTGGGTAAGGGCAGGTTCAGGATGGGCGGCGGCTGGGGTCGGTTCGGGGTCGGTTTTAGACTTGGTTGAAGTGCAAAGCCTGACATCCACTGCCTTTTCAGACTCAATCTGGACCGATGCGGAATGCGACTATGTACAGGAGTCTCATCACCAGCCCTTCATGTTGATGAGGGGCCTTCATCTTCAACATCTCTTGGACCCGAACCTGAACGCAGTAAGCCGCAGGCTGTAGGTGGTGTACGACCTCCAGAGCTCCCACATGCATGGCATGCAACCAAAAAAAATGCATCAGCCTCCACGAGATCAGACTGGTTCTCCATGACTGTATCTAAGTCCTGCGAATCGGCGAGGTTGCTTCACTTTGCCTCGTGAGCGAGCCTTGTAGGCCATCGGCGCCTGGTTTGGTAGCGTGCAGGGTTGCGAGCAAAATGAGGCTATGCCATGCCTCATCCCGAACTTTGTCGGCGTGATTCACATCCCAAACCTCAAGTGCAACGTCTCACACTCTAAACTCACTCACTGTCAAGGCAGCTGCAATGCCATGCTCTTGCATGTGAACAGCGAAGCTCCTCGGGTCAATGTTCCTGGCAAGGCCAGGACGAGGCTTGAGATCTTGAGATCTGAGTCGGATCCTGAAGGCTGCTGCTCTGGACATAGCTCGTCCGGCGCCATGGGAGCACGACCTGAAGCTCACGAAACGCCCTCCGTTTGCGTTTCTCTGAAGGGATGTGAAGGTCTGAAGGCAGTGGCAAAGCCCCAGGCTGCCAGGAGCTGGGCTCTCCCTTGCCACGCACGATGTACGAGCCAGTGCCCATGCCTTGCAGCTTGGGACAGCTTGGGCCAGCTTGGGGCAGCTGGCGGCTCTCGGGTGCACGGCTTCCAGGGATGATCCCCATCTGCCCCGCTTTGGCGCTGGTCCTCGGGTGAGACTCTATCAGGTCCTCAGGTCAGTTCTTGAGCCACGCACGCCCCTTTCCGCGTGACCCACAGCTCCTCCTCCTTCCACCTTACCGCAAGATGCCACAAGATACCGTAAGACCCAAAGGCGGCTGCAGAGTACTCCGGTACTCCAAGGGTGCCGCTTCTCCTCACTCGTGTCGAAATACCTGGCAGCAAGACTGCCACCTGCAATTCGGCCTGCAAAAACCGCCTGCACTGCTCACATTCGCAGTAGTTGTGGTGAATGTTTACCTTAGAAGTGTGTGTGGCTGGACCCCTTGTCCTTAAGGCCTAGTGAGAACTCAGCCATTTTGCTCCAAACACCTTCACGCCCCGTTTCCTTCTTCACCACCTGGAAAATGCCAGCCCATGTCTCCGATGCAACTCACAGCGATCTCCTCTGCAAAGGCTTCCATCATAAAACGCCTACAGACTTGGAACCCTCAGAGCGAAATCGGAAAACTCAACGCCATGCCATTGGCAGAACGCGCCTGTTCTCCCAGGCATAGGCTTGGCAGAAGGCCATGTCTGTGAGGTATTGCTTGCCTCGAACAGCCCGGTCAGAGACCCTCATAGCGCCACTTCACTGAATCGCTGAGGCGAGGGCCCTGCGAAGACTCAATCCTCAAATCCGGTCGCTCGATCCAAAGCCCTCCCAAGCTCTCAAGGCCTCAGGTAGGCGAGGGCCTCGCGACTTCCTCCGCACCTCGCGGCAAAATGGGGTCGTGCCGTGCGGAAAGGAACGCAACCGTGCACGAGGACGGTTGCGGAAAAAAACCAAGGGCTGTGCTGCTTGGCAGCCAGCTCGTCGTAGTGCTGAGCTGTCACCTCTTGGGTCTTGTCGCATCTCTAGAACTTTGGGACTTGAGCACACAGCATTGCCGATGTTGCGCGACCCGCTGTGCAGCATCATCCAAATGCGGTCCTGCGAGTGAGAGAGACTCGGTCCCCCATCGGAACCACACAACGCCTACCTCCTCATCATAGACGAGCTCCACAAAATGGTTGCCGCCACCGAGTGTGCCCAGCTGCCTTGTGTGCTTGCCACTCAGCGTCTCCCTGACAAAAAGGAAGCCAAGTGCCGGTGGCAATGCATGGCGCATGCACCTTATCCAGCGAGTAGGCGCATGCTTCGAGATCAGCATCTTTATAGCGGACTGGAAGCGATGCTTCAAGCTCTACTGCACTCTGCAGCTTCGGCCTCCATGGCGCTCGTGCTTCTGCCATGCGACTCAAAGCCGGTGGGGATGGAGCTCCTGGCTTTTGATTGGCCTCTGAAATGAAATTACGTTTGTGCTTCCTCAGGCTCACATGTCTTCATTTACGCCTGAGGCCCCGCTGGATGGCCAGCAGCCTCTTCTCGGAGAGGTCCTTCCGCAGCAAGCCACTGACCTTGCGCTGGCGACGACCCTGACGGCCCAGGCCTTTGAAAAGCCCACCGCTGGCACAGCACCTTACGTGTACCACACGTGGAACACGCGCGAGAGCACTGGACCAGGCGCCGACACATGCCACAGCCTATGTCTACCCCGACCTGGGCGCTTCGACAGCACATGCCGGCTAGCGTTGCGAATCGCCAAATATCACGCAGAACTTCGAGTAGAGGCGCGGGCTGCGTTGGGACAAACGAAGTCCCGCGACGCGAAGACGGAGCCAATCGTAGCCCCTTTGCCCAGGTGCACGTCAGGCCTACAGGCCAAAGGAGGCGACAAAACGGGCAAACGGTGCGTAAACGAAACCAAACGAGTGGCCCAAAAAGCGTGATGCAATTGAAGCTCCCCCTCTCTCTCAAACACAACAACATGCGTCAAATGCAAGTATTCCCGCAAGGGCTTCTTGAGGCCATTCCAAAAAATAGCAGAAAGGGATGAGCCAAGAAACTGCACGTGTTGTCCCCACAAGGCGAGAAAACCACGTTGTGTCCACACAAACCATGCAAGCGCATCTCTATCCACGGGTTCTAAAGTAATGATGATGCAAATTGCGAGCGCCAGCTGCGGAAGTGCACTTTGCAACAAATGTGTCGTACTGAGTGTGTGTATACATATATGGTACGCCCCCCTGAGGTTGGACATAGGGGGTCCCAAGTGTTCCCCGAATAGGAACCCCGTAGGTCCCGAATATGGATCTATTCCGACGAGGTGCCAAATGTGCTTGATGAGGTAGAAGACCAACTATATATTGTAAACAGTGTTTTCTTTTTCTGTGGGAGTTATGAGTGCAAATACCACAAATCAGCCAGGGCGCTAGCACATACTTGTTTTCCACGCAAGTGGAAATACCAGGCTGGAGCCAAACAAATAGCATGAATTGCACATGAGTGGATCTGTGGAATCCAGCACAGACCAAACAAAAAACAAAAGGGACACACATCTCTTTCCACTTCTGGCGTTGCTGGCTCCTTTTAGGAATCTTGCCATGAAGCGATTTTTTAGCACCCGGCTCAAAAGCCTGAATATGCGTGGTAGTGCAGTGATAGCACATTGAGGAGTGAAGCTGCGGGGGCGGGGGGGGGTGAGCATCTATAAATATATATATATATATATCTCCGCCGACAACAGACGGCGTGTTGGACATAAGAAATGCTCCTTACCTCTTTACCGGTTACCCCTCCCCTTACCCCTCCAGAAACACCATTCCAGACTATTGCGCGGGGGGTGAGGCCCACTGCCCCACGTGCCTATCCGTGAAGGGAACTGGTACCCTGTGGTAGTAGAGGTCGTTGTGTTGGTCCCTGAATCTATTCCGGAGAGAATCCAATAAGCCACTGTGGATGACTGGAGGATGCATTGTCCCTGGTGGATTGTCCTGTGGATAATCCTGGAAGCGGCCTGCTAAGGTTCTTTTGCTTCACGCGATCATGAATGATGCAATGATATACAACCGGGGCCTTGAGCCAAATGTTGCGGGAGATGAATTGGTCTGAGAACCAAACACAAAACAGACACAAATTTCTTTTGATCTCCAGCACTAAGTATGAAATACTATTGGCTTCATGGCCTTTGGCCGTAGCCTTGATGTATGCCGTAGCCATGCTGTATGCCGTAGCCATGTGTATTAAAAATGCCGGATTCATCCTCTTTTCTGCTCGGATGAAATGTCTTGGCTTTCGAAATGGAAAACACTATGTACCGCTTCTTTTTGAGATACCTAGATGTGTCAAAAGTGTGATGTACAACGCTATGTACACGCGGGACGATTGTGAAACTATTGATCTCTCACTCATGGTATAGTCTTGTAGACGGCGAGGATCAATCATCTGAATTGAGTTCGTGGTGCTGAGCGAAATGAATCTTCATGGTCAGTCGGATCGACGATACCATCGGCGCTGCTGTCGGATTGACTGCCATAGTCTCCATAATCATTCCAGGTCGAGTTGCTATAGTCCTTCCACTGCTTCTGATGTCCCCGCTGCTTGTTGTAGTCCTTGTACTCCTGCGGGGTCCAGGCTTGTTTCTTCTTGATGTACTCCTGGTATCTCTCAGAGCTGCGTTGCCTGGTTGCAGATTTGCTGCGGATGTAAACCATGAAAGGACTGTGAGAGTCGGAGTCCTGCGAGCCATTCATGAACATGTCATTGTTCACGTGCTTACAGCGCTCTGCGGATGAGACCTGGTAATCGAATATGGCCTTGGTTGGATGGTTCCGCATGAATTCCAGTTGTTCATCATCCATGCCGTTCATCTCGTCCTTCCGGAAAGCCTGCTTTGCCCCATCCAAATACGAAAGTCATCATCACATCTGGGAATATCCTGATCCACACTTCATGTACAGGTGATGACGGACAATGGATTTTAGGGTGCACGAAGTCTCCATTGCATACTCCATTCTGTCCACGAGTGGCAAATCTTTCGTTTCATTCCACAGTCTCTGATATGCTCTCATGAGGATGTTCACGAGACCGTTGGCCGGATTGAAGACGTGCTGGAGTTTGCTGTAGGTGTTCGCTGATTTGTTCGGTACAAAGTCACGAGCGGCATGATTTCATTTTGAAGATCTTCCCTCGCTGCTCCATGGCTAATTGAAGGATGGATGTGGAAAACTCCAATGGTAGCGAATGGGAGATCTGCCCTCGTTATGTGGCGGTCGTCATACTCGTGGAGTGACTTGTTGGATGATTTCGGGATCATGCCACGAATCTCATCACTTTGCTCGATATGGAGAACGACGATCTCCTTGTCTCGGCCATGTCCTTGGACAATGGTGCGTGTTGGCAATCTCGGTCCAATGTACTTCTTGGATTCAGTAAACATGGATGGTCCTCTGGTTGCCAAGCAATCCGAGGTCGGAATTTCGTATTTGGGATCAGTGCAACTTCCTTCAGTTCCGAAGAAACATCTGAACATTCCGAATGTGGTTTTCTAACGCTGGCTCTTGGTGGAAATGTGTCTTGCCAGAAGTTCCATGCGATCGGTCTGGATGACCATTGCTTGATCACGATGCCCTTGTAACCGTATCGGATGAACGTCTTGATGAGCTCCCTGGATTTCTCATCGTTATGACTGAAGAATGCGTCTGCTTCATTCAGGCATAAGATGTGTGCACTGTTCTGCATCATCATCTTTACGATCGGTCGATCCTTCATCGGCATGTTGTACACCTCCCTGTTGTCCAGCTTTGGATTCCTTGTGAGGTTTCCATGGTTCAGGGTAAGCATGTTGATCGCTATGGATGAGGTGAACTCATGCATCTTGAGATAGTCCACAGGAGGACGGTCGGTCGGCTGCATCAGGCATAGGCTCGGATGATTTCCGGGTCATCATGTGACCTGAGCTTCTTCAATCCAAGCGGAAGCTTTATCGGATATCCGGATCCTGGTTGAGTTGCTTGTACTCGTCAATGGTGGGACATTCTCCTCGATGAGGGAAGTAGAATTCTTCTTCTCCGAGATTGACATCGGGATCGACATGTGCCAATGAGGCTCTCTCGCACTCTGTCAAGTTGGGATGAGCTCTTCTTGGATCTTTGTTGAACTTGTTCATGAAGCGGGAGAGGTTTGCCTTGGTCTCCGCGAGCTCTTCCTCTGCGTCCTTTTTGTTCAAATCTGTTTCGAGGTAGATTCCCTTGAGTTCTTGGATGAACTCATCTAGGTTCTCTGAATTGTGATATTCCACGATGACTTTTGGCTTGACGGATCTTTCCCCGGAGGGTTCCATCGTCTCTTCTTCAGCTTCGTCCTGATCGGTGGAATGCCGTCTCTTCTTGGTCTCTGAGGAAGTATCTTTTTCCTTGCTGTGCTTGGTGGAATTCACATAATTGAAGAAGGCATCGGCAAATTCGCGGATCTTGGTGTCGTACATCTCGTAATCTTCATAACTGAGATGCTTCTTCATGATCCACTTGTTGCTCGCCATGACGCTGCCATCAGGTTCAAATGCTGCAACAATGTTCCTTGCCTCGATGGTTTTGTCTGTCAACGCTGTTCGCTCTTCGAAGAGTCGGATGCCATAGTCTTGGTCCTTGAGGAATGCAAGGATCAACAGTGCATCTCTTCCTGCTGGCACATGGGTCAATGCGGCTTCTGACTCATCGTCGTCAAGGATGACGCCATCGATGCATGCCATGTGGACGTGCATTCTCCCCGAAGGGTTTGACTGGGATTTCCCAGATTTAAGCCCGTGCTCCATGACGGTGAAGAGCTGATTTCCACAGGTTGCATGGATATGAATGTGATGGGCTTCTTCGCGAACGGCTTGATTTTTCTCTCTTCTTCAATGGATGGTGGCGCCGGCCTTCGCATTCTGTGCTTGGCTGAGCTGTGCCTTCATCTTCATGAGGCGCCTCGGATCTTGACGGATGCGGACTTGGCGGAATAGATTCCGTTGGTAGATCATAGTCCGGTTCGTCGTGTTGAGGCTCTTTCTGCTGCTCAGAGTACAGGGGTCGTCCAAAGGATTGGATCTCGACTTGTCGTGTGTGTCCGCTGTTGCATCTCACGTAGAACTCCATCTCTGGATCGACATGGAATTCCTTGCCATCGGGCGATCCATCGATTCCTTGGAACAATTTCTCCCCGTGCCTTGCGCTCCTTATATGGCCCGTCCACGGATAGAAATACGAATGCAATTTCGAAACGTGATTTTCCATAGCTCGGGAACATAGCCATCAAGAGAAGTCTTGGCTCATTTCCAATGAAGTTCCTGGCATGTGTGACGCAGGTCAATGCGTCATAGAGCTCGACGGATCCATCAGGACCCATGTCCACTTGTCGTCTGCATTCCATGTTGGATTCCATGCCTTGGATCATGTCGAAGACATCCGGAAAATGATCTATTCGCCAGAGGATGAGATCTGTGATCTGTTTCGCCTTGGATGGATCCATGCGGAAGTATTTGCAAACCTGTTCGACATTCTGGACGGTCTTCTCGAGATCAATGTTGCCGTTGTGGCATACCATCGGGATGATGTCGGTTCCGTAAACTTCGGATTGAGCATTGGTGTAGCAGCAGATGCTGTAGACCTTCTTGATGAAGTCCATGTATTGCTTCTCCGTATGAGGTCCTTCACCTTGGAGTGTTGGCTGCCAATAATCGTTCAATCTGGCCTTCAACCAGAATACCTTAACTCCATGTGGTCTCTCATGCTCAGGAACGAAGTGGAAATCCGGATTGACATCGAGGATGGTTGAGCATTCGCTGTAGGCCCTGTAGTACTCGTACACAAAATTCAGGAATTTTGAGTTTCCGAAA